GCTCTGCGGCAAGGCCTTCGCGCAGGCCGCGGCGCTGGTGAAGCACCAGCGCGTGCACACCGGGGAGAAGCCCTACCCCTGCCCCATGTGCGGCAAGACCTTCGCTCTGTCCTCGGGCCTCGTGCTGCACAAGCGCATCCACACGGGCGAGCGCCCGCATGCCTGCCCGCTCTGTGGCAAGACCTTCATCTCCTCCTCACACCTGGCCCTGCACCTACGCTCGCACACGGGCGAGCGCAAGTACAAGTGCGGCGTGTGCGGGAAGCTCTTCCTGCAGTCCTCGCACCTGGTGCGGCACAAGGCCATCCACACCGGGGAGAAGCCCTTCAAGTGCGAGGACTGCGGCAAACACTTCGGCCGGGCCTCACACCTCAAGACCCACAAGCGCGTACACACGGGCGAGCGGCCGTTCAAGTGCACGCAGTGCGAGAAGGCCTTCACGCAGAAGGCAGGGCTCATCCTGCACGTCCGCCTGCACACCGGGGAGCGGCCCTACCACTGCGACAAGTGTGGCAAGAACTTCCGCTCCTCCGCGCACCTTGTGTCGCACCAGCTGCTCGAGTCGGGGGAGAGGAATTTTAAGTGCACCACCTGCGGGAAGGCCTTCAAGCAGGCGTCTTCCCTCAAGCAACACCTGAAAACACACGAAGCGCGTGAGCCTCACCGCTGCTCTGTCTGCGGCCGGGCTTTCTCCAGGTCCTCCTATCTCCAGCTGCACATGAGAACCCACAGCGGGGAACGGCCCTACCACTGCTTGGTTTGCAACCGAACTTATGCCAAAATGTCCACCTTTGAGAAACACTGTAAAAAGCACCAGCAGGAGGAAGAAAGGCCTGGTATGAGGCCCCGAGCCATGACTACCAGGGCCAAAGCACTGGCTGAAAAGAAGAGGCAGAAACAGAAACAGCAGCACCAAGAGGATAGCCCCGAGCAACCTCGTCAGCCTGATGCCCAGCAGCAACGGGAGGAAGAGCAGTAATGGTCACCAAAACGGAAACTGCTCGCTCCTCTTCCCATCAAGGACGGGGAAGACTGATTAATTTAATTTTTATCTGCTCAAAGTGCTGCGTCGCGCCAGCGTTATTCCAGAAAACGTTGCCAAGTGGAAATCTGCAGACTCAAGGTGCAATGCAAACACTTTTCTCTGGCATTACCAGATAACTCTTAAGAAGGCTCCTGATGCTCCGTACAATCAGTGTTGTGTTCCAGATTGTGTCCATCCTTATTTATTTCGTTTTCAGTAGGTAGGATGCCTCGTCAGGTAGATTTCTAAGGCTTGTTAGTCAGCCAAACTGTGCTGTTATGGGGGTGGAAAAAAGGAGCACTTCTTTACGTACAAGAAGTAAATTAAGTTGAAATCTCTTGAGGTAAATCGAAAGATTTTGTGTGGGGGATTAGTGGAAGTGATATACTTGCACAACATGGAATCTTATTTGCTTATACTAGTACTAGCAATTGGTAGTAGAGACAAAATTACAGGATTTTAACTTGTCAAGTGCAGTTTGTTTTTACACGCTGTAAATAGCTAGAAAATGGTGTCTGAGACTTTTTCTCCTAATAAATCATAATAGGAGCTGTTGTTGGCATCCGCCAATGCATTGCATTGTATGAAACAATATTTTAAAATGGCGGGTCTTTATTTTTGGTTAAATACAACATTAAGGCAAGTTGATCAAATTTCTAATTCATGTTAAACTGATTGGATTTTTTTTTTTTTTTTTTTTTTTTACTTTCTAAAACACCAGTTTTCTGGCCAAGTCAGGATTACTGTTAATGCCTTGTCTTTGGTTAGCTAGCCTGTCATAGAGGAAAATTTGAAATGCCATAAATAGTTGCTACTAAATGAGTTAATTTCACATTTTAATATGACCTACAATGTTAATCATCTTTAACAGCATTAAGATGACATTTAGCACTCTAGAAAATCCACAGCCTCTCTCTCAAAATTAAACAAAAAGAATAGGAGAAACTTTAGCAAAGCATACTTCATCAGAATACATTTCTTCCTGCTAAATTCTTCTAAGCTTTAAATCATTTTAGCAACACTATTATAGGGCCTACATTAAATGTTTACTTATCACTTATTGTTACACAGTTACCTACAGCAGAAAAAAGAGCACTTGTTTCCATAGTCTGAGCATGTTCAGATGCACAGTCCTTATTTTTTATAATTGAACTCAAATGGTATTTGCAGACTGATTACGTTTTCCTGCCATTGTGTGAAAACACATGTTTTGCACTTTAAAGATCTATTTAGAAAGACACTTGTTTTGGGTTTTCTGTTGCGTATTTATGACTTTGTGTTTCAAGGCCAAAAATGTACTATTATATTTGAAGTGACAACTTTCACGTTTTAAATATAAAAAATTAAATCAGAAATTTTACTCTGTAGTGGGAGGTAGAACTGAATTCTGTTTAACAGGACATTCACAGTTAGCAAAACAGCGATAAAAGAATCCTTTGACACTTTCAGCAGAATTTTCTGTGCAGTGGATGCACTGAGGTACAAAATAAGCCCTAAGCTGACTTGGTATTTTTTATTTGGCTGAATAGTACTCTTGCGATACTCAAGCAGGCAGATGCATCAGATGAGAAGTTCTAGGCCAGAGTTTCTTGTCATACTACATTATAATGTAACACTTTTTCAGCAGTTTTTAGATCCATTTTGTTGTGAAATGTAATGTTCTTTGAGAGGGACCAGACATGCTGGGAATCGTCTACAGTCCTGTTATGCAACAATGCCATATAAGTAGAGTCTATCTTTTTGTACTTCACTTCTCTTATTAAAATAAGCAATATAAGCTGCTGTCTGTTTTTACATCCTGATGCTTCTGGTTTTAGTACCCCTTCTCAATAAAACATTTGCTGCCTGAAACAAAATCCAAATCTGTAGTAGTTTAGCTTCTTCTAAAAGGTTTTAATCATCTTAGCTAGATAAATAAAGTTTCTTAACTGGCTCTATGTTCCCATTGGGAAGCATAAAAACCGATGGCATATCATGGATGTCCTTATTTTTAGTTCAGCAGAACTGAAACTTTAACACAAGGACCAGAACAAATTACTTTTTTAAAGATTGTTTTATTCTTTCCATGTTGCTCCTTTGTGCTAATTTTTGTCCTCCATTTTACTGGTTTTTTTAAAATCTTCCCCTTTTGCTTTTTTCAGTTTCCTGCTCTGTCAGCTGTCTTCTCCCAGCGACCGGAAATCCAGGCTGTTCAGGATACAGGATCAACTCAGAAATTGTAAATTAGAAACAAGTTCCAAGAGTATTTCAGAATGGGAGAATGAAAGTATGCTCTCATGCCCTGAGTGTTACAGTAATGTAAGTAAGGCGAGGCAAATTCAAAAGATTCTGATATATCTGCCTTAGGGGAAAGCAGGGTCAGCAAAGGTATTTTCAAAAATACTGTCACTCCCTTGCTTCTTAAATGTGCTTTGCAGGCTGCGTATGGAGACGAAGCAGAAAAAAATGTTGTCATATCTCCTACCCTGACGTAAATTAAAGTATCTTTTAGTAGTTTCATAACTTGCAACTTAAAGCTCCAAATATCTGTAAATGTCAAGATTCAGACCATTGGTGCAAAGTTTTTTTGGTTAAATTTTCTCCTGAAACTTTGTTTTCCCCATCGTAGCCACAAAAGTTCTTTAAGCAAAATGCCACGTTCCCTAGGGAA